CCCCCTCCCTTGCCATCACAACCACTGTTCCCCTCCCTTGCCATCACCACATCCGCTACCCACCCCCTCCCCTTCACCACACCCGCTACCCACCCCCTCCCTTGCCATCACCACAACAGCTGTTCCTCCCCACCTTCACCACACCCGTGGCCTACCCTGCCATCACAACACCCGCTGCCCACCCCCTCCCTTGCCATCACCACATCCGCTACCCACCCCTCCCTCGCCATCACCACACCCGCTACCCACCCCCACCCCCTCCCTCGCCTTCACCACACCTGCACCACACCCACTGCCCATCCCCTCTCTCGCTATCATCACACCTACAGCCCACCTCCTCCCTCACCATCACTACACCTGTAGCCCAGCCCGTGTCATCACACCTGCTCGCTCGCTCGCTCAGTCAGTCAGTCCGCCCACCCTCAGCCACTTCGCCCTAGTCCTTGACTCGTCCTGTCTCTTTAAATCCTACTTCGGGCCAATGACTAATCAGCGTTCTGTCCCCGCCCCCTCATGAATATTCTACCTGGGAAGGAGACAGGGCTCGGCCCCGTATGCTAATCGCAGCTGCTGATCGCTGACGCGCAATCACACCACGAGCCGCCTCGCCCGCTGATTGGCCGGCGGAGACCTGGTCTCATTGACAACAAGCCGAGGAAACGCGCGGCCCTGGCTCCTGGCACGCAGGTGGGGGCGGGGCTGGCCGAACATGGTGGCGGCAGCGGCCGGTGCTGGGAGCCTGGGCTGAGGCGGTGCCCGGCCGGGGGAGGGTTGAGGCGCTGGGCGCACGGCGGGGGCGGGCCCGTGTGCGGAGTCGGGATGGAGAGCCGCGAGCTGGGCATGGAGGCCATGGAGACCCTGACCGAGCTGGGGGACGAGCTCACCCTGGGGGACATCGACGGTGAGAGCGAGGAGTCCGCAGGGCAGGGAACCCGGGAGGTGCCCGCCCCTCTGGGGGGTGCCTGGGGGCACTGACCTAGGGAAGCCCTGGCTATGTCTGCCCCTCTGGGGGTACCTGGGGGCACTGACATAGGGGAGTCTGGGCTGTGCCCGCCCCTCTGGAGTGTGCCTGGGGGTGGGTGCACACACTGCATAAATCACTTGTGGAACTCATTGCCAGGGGATGTTGTGAAAGCCAAAAGTGTAAGGAGGTTTAAAAAAGAACTAAAGTTAATGGAGGATAGGTCCATCAGTGGCTATTAGGTAGGATGGACAGGGATGTAACCCCATGCATTGGGTGACCCTAAACCTCTGACTGCCAGAAGCTGGGACTGGATGACGGGTGGATCACTCCGTAATTGTTCCGGATGTGTCTCTTGGTGCTCTGGTACCGGCCACTGTCAGAAGACAGGCTACTGCTCTAGATGGATCATTGGTCTGACCCAGCATGGCATCTCTTATGTTCTTACGTGGTAGGTGCATGGGGGGGGCACTGACATATGCCCAGGCTGTGCCCACCTCACTGGGGGGCATACCAGGGGGCACTATCATGTGTGTAGAGAGAGGTGCTGATGTGTGATTGGTCTGTGGTTGCTTCTGGTGGTGGCCTCAGCATGTGTGATTTCAAGTTTTGCCCACTCCCCTCTAAAGTATGTAGTGGGTGTATGGCCAGCTTGTGGCCCCCCCTTTCTCTGGTGAGGAGAGTGATGTGTGTGGCAGCTTAAGCCTGTGTCTTCCTCTATAGAGTAGCTGGCAGGGGAATGAAATGTGTGGGGTTCACTAATGCACATGTGGCCATTCTGTGCCCATCCACTCTGGGGTGTGTAGCATAGGTGTGATGTACATGTGGCAAGCCTGTGATCACCTGCACAGTATCTAGAGCGGCAAAATCATTCAGTAGACTTGCAGTGTGTGTGGTAAAACTTGCTCCTTTAGATATGTCACTTCCTCTTATGATATGTGTGTGATGTGAGGCCACCCCTGCAGTCCTGGATATATGTGCCTGCCTAGACAACATTTATGTGCCCGCCTAGGAATGTCTGCCTGTTATAGATCTGAGTCATGTGTGGTGAAACTGTCCCCATCCCACCCCAGGCAGGCATGCAACATGTGTGTCCTATTTACTGGTCTTCCATGATGTGCCTGCAGCATCTTGTGTGCCTCCCTGTGAAACAGTACTGACATGATATGGCTAGCATGGTAGCTGCACCCTAGAAACCTGCTTTCTGTTAGTCTCAGGGGACTTGCTTAGGGGATGAAGGTGTGCCTGCTTGCTTCCTTCCTGTACCCCTACTGACTACATTGTTGTATTATGGGTGTGTAGACTGTGTCTCAGAGCAGCATGTATACCACTCTGTCAGTTTAAGACATGTATTTAAGAGTTTACAATGTGGAACTCTATCGAAAAATGCTGCTACTTTGATGTGTGGGAGCACTCCTGTCACTTGATGAACAATCCTATTTAACTTGTACCCATTGTTTTGTTTAGTTTTTAAACGTTTTTAGAGAGACTGACTCACTGTGGGTGGTGCTTAGATACCCTGGTGGTGATTGTGGTATAGGAACCTATATGAAAGATATTAGAATAGTGCCCTTTCAGTCTAGGACAGGTGCTCAGTCCCAGGTCTAGTAGGTCCCATCCCTTTTTCTAGTTCTTGCTTTTAGCTTCTTGCCAGTACTACCCTGCAGTAATAGGGATTAAAAATATCTTTCTTAGAATCAAAGAAATCAGTGATGGAAGAGCCCAATTAAGTCACATCATCTTTCTCCCAGCACCACCCTTGCTAAAATCAAGGCTTGGCTGTTTCCAACAGCATATTCCCCAGGGCTTTTTCAAAGTCAGTTTCAAATTACTCAAGTGATTAGACTTCCACTAATTGCTATGAGAGGTTATTCTACAGATCATGTACCTTACTGTTAGACAAGTTTTCCCTTTGTTCAGTTTCATCCTGTTGCTCCTTGTTACATCTCTTTGGATCACTCTAAACATTTCCATCTCTTCCTTACTGTTTATACTCTTCATGTTTGTAGAGAACTCGGGTGGTGGGGCAGTGCCGCAGAGGAGGGGAATCTACTTTCCAGCAACCCGGGGCAATCAAAAACTTAGCTTGAACAAATGAGAGCTAATTACTTACAGCTTGGCAGACAGCTCTTGTTGACTCCCCAGGGGCTGAAAATGAAAACTGACCTGCAGAAGACAGTGGAGATTTGCCAACCTGGCCTGCTATTGGGCTAATGGCCTTTTCTTGCTTTGCTCACCAGTTGTGCCCTTGGGTGCATGTGGCTGAGTCAGTGGATGTCTAATGGGTGCAACACAGGCTTGAGTCAGATGTCCTTGAGTAATAACTGCAACTGATTTGCAGTGTAGCCTTGGGCAAATCAGATATTTCTCTCTGCTTCCCAGTCTGTAAAATGGGGATCATATTTTTACCTTACAAGATTGTGATAAGGTTTAATTACAGTAATTAATGGTTGTGATGTACACTGAAGATTTAGTGTTACTCCATGTGAGTATAAATAATATATGGTCTCCCTGAGGAGCTGCATGGGATGCAACTTCTTGGACACTGAGGCAAGATGCAGTTTCTAATCAGTCTGCAGTCAGATGTTCTGGTTGCACTCATGATTAAGTGCAGTTCAAAGCAAAGGAGAAGCTTATCATGGAGGGAGGGAAGGGAAGCCTTTCTTCCTTCAACAAATTGTGGTTCTAAGTGTTTAGCCACTGATTTCCACGAGCTCAGTGGTTTGACTTTCTTTAAAACTTGGCAGCAAAGGTGCTGTTTAATGTTATTTTTTTGTATTTAATAGAAATCATTTGAATAGATTATTTAAAATTAAATTTGAAATTGACAGATTTATTTTTAAAAATAAACTTCTATTTATTTAAATAGAAAAACCAAATTCCAGTCACCATCCAAGGAGGAAAGAGAAATATAATTCAAATATAATTGTTTAATTGGTAAAGAGCTCAGCTTCTTCACTGATGTGAGTGTGGTATTAAATCATAGTTGGACTCAATGTCACAACTTTTTGTTGACATTTTACTGGTACTGGGTTGCCTAGAACTGTGTTCTGTAGTAACTTGTCTTGTTCCTCTTTAGTGGTTCACTCCTTTCAAACACATAAGGGCATATATAATCTTTGCAAAATAATAGGTTCATCATTTAGTTGCTAGCTGTTGGCAGCCTTCCATATTCCTGAAATCTTATTTTCTGGCTTATGCAGTTTGCGTGGTTATTTTGCAGGTTTCCTCTCTCATTCTTTGCTTTGGCAAATAGGTTTTAGGAAGGAAAGTTGTCATCTGGCTTTGTGTTTCTTACAATTCTTTGTATTTTATTCTCATTGTACTTTTGCTAGTAAAGCTATATAGTTTTTTGGAAAATGTGTTCCATATGCAGCCTAATGTCCTGAAATTCATCCTTTGGGGCTTTTTCGTTTGACTTTTTGGTCAGTTTCAGGTTAAACAACACTTGGTTACTGATAAAAGTGGGATTTGACTTGTTGATGAAGCAATATATTTAAAAAAAAAAAAAAAACCCTCCTAAGATTCCAAGTCAGTAACTTCAGAATTGTGAATAAATGCTCTTTAATACAAAAGAATTGAAAATCAGCTCCTAAATAGGAACTACTGTGCCAGAACAAAACCTTGTCCAATTTAGACCTGTTTCCTGCCTCTAATAATAGCCACTGATGGATTCTTCAGAGGAAACTGAAAAGCCTTGTTGTGTAAGACTACAGTGATAAGCATGGTGGGTATTTTATTCCTGACCCCAGTGGGTGATCAGTTTGACAGGTTATGCGGATAAATATCTTTTGTCATTTTATCCACGTTAGCACTGCTGTAGATGTTATCCTTATTTACAAACGTTTAATTCTCTTGACATTTTCCTACGTGCTTCAATAGTATTTTGTGACAGGTTCATTGGATGCTGCATAAAAATGTATGTCCTTCATTCATCTGGCCAAAACCGCAGTCAGTTTTATTAGTCTTTTGCACCATCTGGTAGCTGTTTCCCTCAGATAGCTGATGTGCAGATGGAAAGTAAATTATTGGGCCTCTTGCAGCCAAAGTAACATCAGCTTATTCTCAGTGTATAACTACGCTGAGAGGGGGGGAAAAGAATCCATTTGGGCCTCCCAGACTTGACAGTTTTTTCTTTAAAATAGATTATCCTCACTCTTGGGGATTTATCCCATCAATTTACTGATATGCCCATTGGGTAGAAGTGAGAAAAGTGAGAAAGATTGATATGGTAAAAGGCATAGAGGATTCAAAGATGCTGGATAATATTTACTTGCTTTTCTGCCATGGAGGCTGTGAAAATTAATTAGTTAATATGTACGTGGCATTTTGGAGTGAAGTCTTGTATAAATGTGGAGTATTAAGAGCTCTTCTGCTGTGTCTGTACAAACTGAGCCAACCTCTTATGAAAAGCTCTTTTTTCCCCTACACCCCTACCTAGCCACCAAGGCAGCCTTATGGGCTTGTTGCACTCTGCAGGATAAAATGGAAGGATCTCTAGGTTAGATCCTTTTAGGGAGCAGCGATGCTTTCATTTCTAATGTCTTATTCTTTGTTTTCATTGTTAATGGATCAATGCTTGCATTAGATTAATGGTTGCTGTGGAACTCTAGCCTGGTTAGAAGGGACATGTATTGCAGGAGATCATGAGGCATGTTTATTTTTTAAATAAACACCTTTAAAAAAAAATCAATCTAAGAACTAAATGTGGGCATTGCTTCCTCTCACCAAAGCCCTGTAGGATGATGGTTCCGCTAGGTTTTTGTCTTTCCCTTAGGTTTAAACTTTAACTTAAGCTGAATTCTTGTCCAAATTTCCCCACTTATGAGGTGCTTATTGAGACAGCTACCATTTATTCCTTACACTTCCCTAAAAGCTTGGTGGGGGAGTAATTGTTGGGTGGGGCTCTGCAATTGTTTTGTTCCTATGTGACATCTGATTGTCTTGGAAGGCAGCAGTGTTAAAATGTGGGGTTTGTAATGTCTGCGCTCGTTTTGGAGATGGCTTTATTAATTCTCATTTGCGTGGGAGTTTGAGGCTGCCATCAGACTCAGCATGGGTAGGTGCTGTTGCAGACTCTTCTTATGCAGCTCTTCCGCATCTCACTCCTGACTGTAGCAACCTCCTCCCCACCACTGTTCCAGATGTGACCTCTTGCTGTCTGCAAATACTACTAAGTGTGTGTCATGTAGCCTCTCCTATTCCAGTCCCGGATCATCCTGAACCTCTGCTCCCTCCCTCCCACGCTCACATTATCTTCTGAGTCCTGACCTAATGATGGTGGAGGAATGGAGCAGCATGAGGATAGCACTTAAAATTTTTTCTTATTCTTTTCAGAGATGCTGCAGTTCGTCAGCAACCAGGTCGGGGAGTTTCCGGATCTGTTTTCAGAGCAGTTATGTGGCACCTTCCAGAGCAGTGGTGGAGGTAGCAGTGGTGGAACCTTGGACCATCCACTGCAGAGCTCATACAGCCAGGCACAGCTGCAGTCCTTCCCATCCACTGCTGCCTCTCCCCAGCTCCAGGCTGTGCAAGTCAAAGTGCCCCAGGCAACAGCACCTGCCCCTCAGCGGTCTGCACCCCTCCTTCAGCCTCGTCCCCAGCTCCAGCCCCAGCTCCAACAGCAAACGGTGATGATTACTCCAACTTTCAGCTCTGCTCCCCAGACCAGGTTCATTCAGCAACCGCTGATCTACCAGAATGCAGCCACGAGTTTTCAAGGTAACGCCTGGGGGCTCAGAACACTTTTTTTTTTTTTTTGTATTGTAGGCATGAAAAAAAGCTACTTTTCAAAGAAAACTTAGGCATGATGGCTCTAGAGGATGCTGTTTGCCCAATAATTCTAATTTATGACCTGGTCTTTGAGAAATCCCTGGTACTGCATGAAGAGTTTCAGTCTAGATGACGTGTACTTTCACTCCGATTCAATGGGCAGACAGGAAAACTCTAGTGTATGGGTTTCTAACTCTTTTCGTATGATGTACTTGTGACTCATATACACTTGCTCGTCTCAAACGTGGCCCCACAATCCTTTGCATTGGCTTCTTGGGGGGGGCTTTGTAGATGGTGTTTTAGAAATTGTCACAGTTTACTTTTGTAGTGCTTCTAGCTGTGGGAGCAAAGGCTAAACCCAGGACCTGAACTCTCATTCTCTCCCACATGGCAGTATGTTTTGCCACTAGAAGGTTGAGCCGTCTTCCTGCTGTGACTGTGCATCCAGGGCAATAAAATAAGGGACTAAGGCATGTGGTATGAGGGTTCAGGTACTCAGTTAATGCTTTTGCTGAGTAGGGGCACTTCCCAGAAGGTTTAATTGGAAATCATCTTACCTTAGTGCCTGGGAGCCCTCGTCATGGACCAGGACTCCCCTGAGCTAGGTGCTGTACAAACACAGAACAAAAAGCCCCTGCCCCAAGGGGCTAAACTAATAAAAATAATGAGCTCTCATTAAGGTCAGTCATCATAGTTCTCTATTGCTTAGGCATCAGATTGTTCTCATTTCAGGTGCTAAGAGCTGATGCAAGGGATAAGTCACAGGGAGTACTAATGGCAGCATAGTAGGGAAGTGCATCCCAGATTCTTTTGTGCTAGGCCCAGTGCCATCAAGGGAATTTGTATGGTCGTTCACAAGGTAGTGGTGCTGCCATGAGTTACCTACTCAGCCATTTACAATCTTCTTGGGTGTCACTCACAACCCCCGACTGAGAGCCTCTCTGCTGTGCTATCCCTCACATCTTTTTCTCCTTTTCAGTGCTTCAGCCTCAGGTTCAGAGCCTGGTGACGTCCTCCCAAGTTCAGCCAGTCACCATCCAGCAGCAGGTGCAGACTGTGCAGGCTCAGAGAGTGTTCACACAGGCTGCCAATGGCACCATCCAAACGCTAGCCCCTGCCACAGTCCAGACAGTAGCTGCTCCTCAGGTCCAGCAAGTTCCAGTAAGTAAAAATAAGGAATATGCAAAGAAGGGTGTGCCTAGTGCCCTCAGCAAATGCAGTGTGGAGGGCACAATTTGCAGAACTCCCCAGGATCCATCAGGGGGGGATAATGCAGGAGCAGGCTTGGTTGCTGACTGATCCAGGAATGGGGTGTGGCGGGTGGGGCTGGCTGAAGCTTAGTTGCTTGATTGATGCTGGGCTTACTCTGGGATGCTGAGTTGTTGGGTGTGGAAAGTGATTCTAACAAATCTTTCTACCTTCCAAAAGCATCTTGCTTTATTTAACCCAGGCAAAAGAGCTCCTCATTGTGAACATACCACTTGGAATGTTTTGGACTTCACCCTCAGCAAGTTTGCAGATGACACTAAACTGGGAGGAGTGGTAGATACGCTGGAGGGTAGGGATAGGATACAGAGGAACCTAAACAAATTAGAGGATTGGGCCAAAAGAAATCTGATGAGGTTCAACAAGGACAAGTGCAGAGTCCTGCATAGGATTCTTTCATCCTAAGTGCACTGCTACAGACTAGGAACCGAGTGGCTAGGCAGCAGTTCTGCAGAAAAGGACCTAGGGGTTACAGTGGACAAGAAGCTGGATATGATTCAACAGTGTGCCCTTGTTGCCAAGAAGGCTAACGGCATTTTGGGCTGTATAAGTAGGGGCATTGCCAGCAGATCGAAGGATGTTATCATTCCCCTCTATTTGACATTGGTGAGGCCTCATCTGGAGTACTGTGTTCAGTTTTGGGCCCCACACTACAAGAAGGATGTGGAAAAATTGGAAAGAGTCCAGCGGAGAGCAACAAAAATGATTAGGGGGCTGGAGCACATGACTTATGAGGAAAGGCTGAGGGAACTGGGATTGTTTAGTCTGCAGAAGAGAAGAATGAGGGGCGATTTGATAGCTGCTTTCAACTACCTGAAAGGGGGTTCCGAAGAGGATGGATCTAGACTGTTCTCAGTGGTACCAGATGACAGAATAAGGAGTAATGGTCTCAAGTTGCACTGGGGGAGGTTTAGGTTGGATATTAGGAAAAACTTTTTCACTAGGAGGGTGGTGAAGCACTGGAATGGGTTACCTAGGGAGGTGGTGGAATCTCCTTCCTTAGAGGTTTTTAAGATCAGGTTTGACAAAGCCCTGGCTGGGATGATTTAGTTGGGGATTGGTCTTCCTTTGAGCAGGGGGTTGGACTAGATGACCTCCTGAGGTCCCTTCCAATCCTGATATTCTATGAATATCTGTCATGTCACATAGCACGATTAGATGTAGCACTGGGCAAACTTCACAAGTTTCAGTTTGACTAAGCATCAAAAGTTTGGCTGCATAGTTGCACGTTATCCTGTGTGTCTAAGTTGCTTTGGTCAGCCAAACCAAACTGGAAATCTCATGCTAGCAGTCTTCTATGATAAATTTCTAATTGTTCCTACTTTTGGTTAGGCTGCCAATAACCTGTGTGCTTCTTCTGTTCCTGTTAGAATTTCACCGATGCAGCTATTAGAGCATTTTCCACTGTGAACGTCTGCCATATGGAACATCATCCAGTATTTCTCTGCTGCTTCATCTCTTATCAAATCTCTTCTGAAAATATACCCACAAGAGTAAAGGGATCTGTTTTCTCCCTTTGCTATTATGTGAAGTGCTTCACCGTAGGGTATATACTCTGTATGAAAGAGATTACTGAGGTTAAGCAAAACAGTATCATGCCACTTATTGTCCCACCCAGGATCAGGAATGGTAAAGTAGCTGCAAAAATGGAAAAGCAAGGAAGAATATTTTAGGGTAAAGGGTAACCAGCCTTTACTGTTGGCTTCAATTTGAGTGAAGTTTGGGTTAACTGATTATTTCAGCCAAATGAGGTAAAACCTGACCTTAATTCTCAGGCCATAGGTGAGAATGATGGAATCCTAGAAATGTAGGGCTGGAAGAGACCTCGTGAGGTCATTGAGTCCAGCCCCTTGCAGGACCAAGTACATCTAGACCATCCTGGACAGGTGTCTGTACAACCTGTTCTTAAAAACTTCCCATGATGGGGAATCCACAACCTCCCTTGGAAGCCTATTACAGAGCTTAATTATCCTTATAGTTAGAAAGTTTTTCTTAGGGTATGTCTACACTTACCCGGTAGTTCGGCCGCGAGCGATCGAACTTCTGGGTTCGACTTATCGCGTCTTGTCTGGACGCGATAAGTCGAACCAGGAAGTGCTCGCCGTCGACTGTGGTACTCCAGCTAGACGAGAGGAGTACCGCGGAGTCGACGGGGGAGCCTGCCTGCCGCGTGTGGACCGAGGTAAGTTCGAACTAAGGTACTTCGAACTTCAGCTACGTTATTCACGTAGCTGAAGTTGCGTACCTTAGTTCGAATTAGGGGGTTAGTGTAGACCTGGCCTTAGTATCTAATGTAAATCTCTCTTGCTGCAGATTAAGCCCATTACTTCTTGTCCTACTTTCAGAGGACATGGAGAACAATTGACCACCATCCTCTTTATAATAGCACTTAACTTACTTGAAGGCTGTTATCAGGATCTCCTCAGTCATCTTTTCTCAAGACTAAACATGCCCAGTTTTTGAACCTTTCCTCATAGGTCAAGTTTTCTAAGCCGTTTATCATTTTTGTTGCTCTCCTCTGGACTTTGTCCACATCTTTCCTAAAGTATGGCACCCAGAGCTGGATGCAGTACTCCAGCTGAGACCTCACCACTGCCAAGTAGAGCAGAACAGTTACCAAATGCTATTAGACTTTTTCACAATTGCACCACATTGACTCCGATTCCATTATTTGATCCATTATACCGTCCAGATCCTATCAGAAGTCCTACCACCCAGCTAGTTGTTCCCTATTCTGTAGCTGTGCATTTGATTTTTTTCCTTCCTCAATGTAATAATTTGCACTTGTTTTTATTGAATTTCATCTTGTTGATTTCAGAACAATTATCTAATTTGTCATGGTTGTTTTGAATTCTAATCCTGTATGCCAAAAACGCTTGCAGCCACTCCCACCTTGGTGTCATCTGCAGATTTTATAAGTGTACTTTCTACACCATTATCCAAGTCATTCACTGAAAATATTGAATTGTATTGGACTCTGGACTGACCCCTGTGGGACCCCACTAGGTACACCTCTTTATTTTGACACCAAATGGTTGATAACTACTCTCTGAGTACAGTCTTGCAACCAGTTGTGCACCCACATTAGAGTAATTTTCCCTAGTTTGCTCATGAGAATGTAATATTGGACTGTGTCAGATGCCTTACTAAAATCAAGCTATACCATGTCTATAGATTTCCCCTATCTCTTAGTCCAGTAACCCTGTCAAAGAAGGAAATTAGGTTGGTTTGGCATGATTTGTTCTTAACAAATCCATGCTGGGTATATTTATAAACCTATTATCCTTTAGATGCTTACACAAGGATTGTTTAATAATTTGTTCTATATCTTGCCAGGTATCAGTTAGGCTGACTGGTCTATAATTCCCCAAGACCTCTTTGTTCCTCTTTTTAATGATAGGTGCTATGTTTATCCTTCTCCAGTCCGCTGGGATCTCACTCCTACTCCATGAATTCTTGGAGATGGTTGGTAACTGTTCAGAAATTGATTCAACTAGTTCCTTAAGGACCGTAGGATGAATTTCATCAGGCCCTGCTGACTGAATACATCTAACTTGTCTAAATATTCTTGAGCCTGTACTTTCTCTATTTTGGCTTGCTTGCCTTCCCCCTTGTTGTCAATATTATGTTGAGTATCTGTTCACCATTAACTTTTTAGTGAAGACTAAAGCAAAATAGGCATTAAACTCCTCAGCTTTCTTGATGTCATCACTTATTAGCTCTCCTTCCCTGCTAAGAAGACGACCTACGTTTTCCTTTGTCTGTCTCTTGCTCCTACTGTGTCTGAAGAACCTCTTCTTACTGCCTTTTATGTTCCTTGCTAGTGGAATTCATTTCGTGCCTTGACCGTTCTGATTTTGTCTCTACATGCCTGTACTTTCTTTGTACTCTTCCTTAGCACTTTGTCCACGTTTCCACATTTTTTAGGATTCCTTTTTGATTTTTCAGGAAATTAAAGAGCTCCTGGTGGGCCATATTGGCCTCTCACTATTCTTCCTATCTTTCCTTTGCATTGGGATAGTTGGCAGTTGTGACTTTAATATTGTCTCCTTAAGAAACTGCCATATCACTTGAACTCCTTTTCCCTTAGATTGTCTTCTCGTGGGACCTTACCGACCAGTTCTGAGTTTATTAAAATCTGCTTCTTTCAAGTCCATTGTCCTTGTTCTGCTGCTCTCATTCCTTCCTTTCCTTAGACTCATGAATCTCTCATTTCATGATCACTTTTCACCCATATTGCCTTCCACCTTTAGCTCCACAATCAACCCCCCCTGTTGCCGAGAATCAAATCTAAAATGGCTGCCCCTGTTATGTCCTCCACTTTCTGAAATAAAAAGTTGTTCTCAGTATGTTCCAGGAACTTACTAGAGATTTTGTGTGTTGCTGTATTACTTTTAACTACCCAGACATATATTGGAAAAGACCTCCATTACTATCAGGCTTGTGTTTTGGATATTTCTGTTTGTTCACCACCACCATTGCATCCTCCTGACTTGGTGGTCTATAATACCGCCAGAAATGCTGTGTTCAAACCAGCATTTGAACGGCTGCCAGAGTGCTCACCCCAGTAAAATAGGGTATGTTCTCAAGGGAGCCAGTTATAGGTGCAACCACTGCAGAGGGGAGACTTACACCCACCCTTTTATTTTTGCATGTTAATTTCCCCATAGAAATAGACATGACTTGAAAACCAGTGGCCTCTTGTTTCTTCCTTTCCCATCTTCCAGCCTTGCATACAGGTTGTCTCATTGTGGAGTTTGCGCTGACTTCTGACATTCAGAGAAAGTCCTGGTGGTGTGGGGTGAGGGAAATAGGGTTTCCAGATCCCAGGCTTTTGCTACCTACCAACTCTTCATGCAGTCGGATAGGTCTGTTATGTGACAAGTTTGTGGTTACTGGAGACGGAGATGTATTTCCTGATGCTCACCTGCTGTGTTCCCATATTCTGTAACCCCTAGGTCCTGGTCCAGCCTCAGATCATAAAGACAGATTCTCTTGTCTTGACAACTCTGAAGGCAGATGGTAATCCAGTTATGGCTGCAGTTCATAATCCGGCCCTCACTACACTGACCACCCCTATTCAGACAACGGCACTGCAGGTACCGGTATGAACCTTTCCTCTAAGTTGTTGCCTCTCTTTTAAGTGTTTGTTAGTGCTCTCCATGAGTGACAATGGGAGGGAGTTGGAGTGCTGCCCTGGTCATGCCCGAGATGAGGAATAGCCTCTCTCTTCCACCAAGGCTACATATGCAGTTTGTGCATTTTTGTCAGTATCTGCTGACCAGAGAGCAAAGACCAAGGGTAGACTCCGGTTTACCTTTTTGCTGCATTAGCTGGAGAGGAACATGACCTAATAATCCACTGCCATTTTAAAGCTCATTGGAACAGGAGAGCACTCATAATTACAAGGTAGCAAACTTAAAATAGCTCAAAGAAACCTTAATGCATACTCTGTGAAACTTGCTACTACTAGATATTATTCAGGCAGATGGCATGGTAAATTTCAAAAACAGGTGTCTATATGAACAGCATCCTCAGTGACACTTAACTGTAATAGCGATTACAGGAACTGTCAGGCATGCTTCATGGCATAAACAGATCACTGACTCAAAAAGAAAATCTCCTGGAAAGGTTCTAGTATTGCATAGACTGGTTCATGATGAGAGGGTTTCTTTTTCTCCCAAAGCATCTACAGTTGGAGACAAATTTACAAGCCTAGATTAACCATTGGCTTGCTCTGGCATGGTAGCTGGTTTTATTGGGTAGTTGTGAGCAAACTGTAAATAGAATTGTCAAAATATTGGCTCCTTTTTAAAAAAGGAGTTGCTATCCTAGCTTGCAAAAGACCATCTGGCCAAGCAGCACAAAGATTTGAAGGGGTAGTAAAATAGAACCCTTGGGCCATACTTGTTAGCTGGTGGAATTATGCGTTTTTCCACTTCCCCCACAAAGGGATTCTCAAAGAGCTTTATTTCTCATTGTATAAAGGTAGCTTTGGAGAGCCATTGGTTAGTACAAAGGATTTTGGGAGCCAGCAGGATCCTGGGTTTGTTTTTCACATGTTCAAATGAAAGTGATTCAACACTGGTGAAAAGTCTTAGGTCAGCAATCCTGGAGAATGAAGTACTTTCTCTCCATACAGATATTGGCATGGCCGATGGCATTGCTCTACTAATGTGTCTTATCCTTGACTTGGGGATGGAGTGTGTATTGAGGTGAGGGGGTGTATTTCCTGGGTCTGTGTAACCCTTTTATTTCCTGATTCCACACTTGGTTTTTCAGACTCCTTTTTCTCATGTGGCACATATATCGTGTGTAACTTGGCTGTTACTCTTAATGCTGTTTGTTCTCTGCCTTTTTAGACCTTGGTTGGCAGCAATGGGACCATTTTGACCACGATGCCCATGATGATGGGACAGGAAAAGATGCCCCTCAAACAGGTGCCTGGTGGGGTCAAGCGGCTGGAACCGCCCAAAGAAGGAGAGAGGAGGACGACCCATAACATCATTGAGAAGCGGTATCGGTCATCTATAAATGACAAGATCATTGAGCTGAAGGACCTGGTCATGGGAACAGATGCCAAGGTAAAGAGATGAAAGCTGCTGTCATTAAGCTTGTGTGGTCTGCAGCCCCCTCACCTCCAGATGTGTTAGATAAGAAGAATCCTGTCTGACTGCTTCGTTGGTGAGACCTTAGCTGGTGCAAGCTATTAGTAGTAGTTTTTAATTATTATTATTTTATTGGGATGGTAGACTGCCAAGGAAAACACATGAATAAGAATACTACTGGCTCAGTGTTCCACGGTGATGCTAGGGGCACTGTTACTGGAGACTGAGGTAACAAAACACATGACCTAACCTATCTTGGTGGTTAAAGATCCTCTGGGCCTTTTGTAAGAGTTGTGTTAAATAACTCTCTGGTCAAATCCCAACCTGGCTAACTACAGTGTTACACCGTTCCCCAGTAGTTTCAATACGGTATTCTTTGCTTCCTTTCTTAACTGTACTGTGCTGTTAAATAGCTGCCTGGAAGTGGCTGAATTTCCATGATGGGTAGATGAATCCTATAAACTGTCTCAAAAGAGCTTTGGAATGAAAGTTGTAGAAATATAAAACTATTTTTTTACACGGAACTGGGCAATTTGATTCCTTGTTGCTTTGGTTTGTGAGAACTACTATTGGTTCAAATGCTAAAGGTGTGCTATGAAAGGCTTTGCCACCATAACAAGACCCGAGTTCAGGGTTGTGCCCTTTCATCCGTGCTATTTGCTGACATCACTCTTGCAGATAAGGGAGTTGCAATTCTTAACATTGCTCTGGTGATAGTGAGGTCATCAGCTGTTGCCTGGGGAAATGGGAAACTTGAGATTTGAAAAACCAGGCGATACACAGTTCTTCCATAGCTTTGTGTCTGAGCGGCTCCATGTGCTTTACAAGCTAAACCTAGCAGCATCCCCTAGGAGGCAAATATTTTCACTCTACCAATGAAGGTGGGTTAGGAGGTCTGAGGCACGAAGAAGTTATGGGACTGGCTCAGGATCTCCTAGTGAGCCAGTAGAAGAGTGAGAAATGGTCGTAGTGTTAACCCATAAAAGCATGTTCCTCCTGAAGAGAGCCCCTTTACTTACTAGCTATACACTTGTATCTTTTCTGGTTAAGGCTAGACCTGAATTCTGTTACTCTGATAGGGGTTCTTAAACTGTTTTAATGTTTGTTTCCAATAAATATTAATTCACCCCTCTGGTTCCCAGACACAGTAACTCCCCCTCTAGTTAGCAAGCCACTCTGCACTTTTCAAAGTGTAATCTTTCCTGACCTCAGTGCTGACACTTTCAGTGGCTGTGTTGGTGCTACTGGATGGTCATTTTTCCACCCTCTCTGTATATCACATGGAGAAGAGGGTGGCACTGCTTAGGGTGGATGGGCCTCTGCTTATGTGATTGTTCTTATAAACTGCTTTCCACACGTGTTGCTTCCATGCAGATGCACAAATCTGGAGTACTGAGGAAGGCCATTGATTACATTAAATACCTACAGCAGGTCAACCATAAGCTGAGACAGGAGAACATGGTTCTGAAGCTGGCTAATCAGAAAAACAGTAAGTTATCAGAGCCAGGCAGGAGTGGGTCAGGAAGCAGGAGCATGTGCTTCCTCCTGCCCATTTGCGCCAGTGGTGAAAGATTGCATGTGAAATAACATCAGTGTTGGCCCATATCTCTTTGGCAAGCTGAGCAGAGTGGGCAGGGCACAGGGCATGGTCGAGAGGTGTGTAGTAAATGGAATCTCTGATCTTTGCAGAGCTGCTGAAGGGCATTGACCTGAGCAGTCTCGTGGACAACGATGTGGACCTGAAGATGGATGACTTCAACCAAAACGTTCTCTTGATGTCTCCCCCGGCCTCTGACTCGGGGTCCCAGGAGGGCTTCTCCCCCTATTCCATTGACTCTGAGCCGGGAAGCCCGCTCCTGGATGATGCAAAGGTAATCGTAGTTAAAAGGAGAGCAAGGGGGCTATCCTCTCCAGGGGTACGTCATGGCCAGGACTTTAGATCCTTGTGAGTCTCAACAGTGCCAACTGCTTGTCGTTCAGGAGCAGTGCTGACAGAGCTCTGAAGGGTAGGGCTGCAGGGAACAGAGAGGTTCTGTAGGGCAAGGGATGGTGTGGGAGGAAAAGCAGATTGTCATAAAGGGTGCAAGATACTCTCTGGACGGGACATGACTCTCACCTAAAAGGGCTCTATTTCAGGGGGAGAGCCAAATGTTTGCTCTTGTTTGTTTGTATTGCAGTGGCACATACAGGCTCCAACCAAGCCAGGCTGCATCATGCTAAGCTCTGTACAGATATATATGTAGTAAAAGACCCTCCTCAAAGAGCTTTGTGTCTTGAAGACAAGACACATGACATGGATGAAATAGGAGATGAAGGAAGGGAGGATGGGTTAATAGTAATAGCATGTATTTACACAAACTAGCTGTGTGCCTAATTTCTACAGGCAATAAGCCCAGGAGTAGTTGCAATATTAACTCACCACCTGCCTAGTTATTATCAGATAAAAGGATTTTGTAGGCATCACAACCAAGGTGGGCAAGGTGGCTACATGTGGCTTTGATGGAAGCTTAGTGCTCGCCTAAAATAAGGAATCAAAGAAACTGAAATGATGGGGGCCAGAGTGAAGGTTAGTCACTTTGCTACTCCAGGCCCCTCTTACTGAGCCAGGAAAGGCTGCCCCAGAGTTCTTGGTGGCATTAGTCAAATATGTTGAAACTCATGCTCTCCCCGTCATGCGTATGTGCGTGCACACATATACACACACCCACTTGCTGTTTTACAGTGTGTTTAAAGTTATGTCTCTTCCCGCTCTTCCTCTCCATCCCTGCCCTTTGTGAAGGTTAAAGACGAACCCGACTCTCCCCCTGTGGCCCTTGGCATGGTGGATCGCTCTCGAATACTTCTCTGTGCTCTCACATTCCTCTGCCTCTCCTTCAACCCTCTGACATCCCTCCTGGAGGGCCGAGGGATGCCTGAATCAGACAGCCCTGTACACCATGGCTCTGGAAGGAATGTGCTGGCCATCGAATCAGGTAACCATTTAAAAACAGACTTTCAGAGTGCATCAAGCCTCCTTTGTTTACAAAGTATTGTAGTAGTGAGCTAGAACCCCGGCAAAGGGGGAGGTCAGAGACCTGAATAGACTAGTGAGTGCTTTGGCATGATTAGTACTTACTTACAAGAGGAAAACCAGGGGTGCTAAAATCAAATAGTCCAGTGGGTTACCAGAAGGTACCTGTACGTAGCCCATCACCACAAGCTACCCTGGTTGGACAGATGCTGCGGAGTTTTGAACTAGGTCACGTTTTTCTATTTCCATAAGGGTGAACTTTCTAATGAAGTTCAAAGAGCTATTTCTCTGGTCATTTTCCATAATTTACAAATCAAGTCATTTGTGAAAATCAGTGCAGAAATCATGGCTCCTGCCACAATGTTAACTTGGCCATGCTTCCCAGACTGTGTGGTTTATGGTGTGTGTTTAACAGCCTACACAGATGCGTTAAATTACACTTTTAATAAGGGCCAGGAACCCTATAGGGACCTCTGCAGTTCCCTGATTGTAACTATGCAGCCCTCATGTTGCACTAGCTTACCTTTGTGCATTTAATTAATATCTTACTGTGTCCCTTTCAGGCATCAAGCATCCTGGGATGCCCAGTTCTTCACTAGAACCACTTGCGCTGTCCTCCCCTCAAGGGGAAGTTTAGTTTGTTTGTTTTTTTAAATTAACTTTGTGAAGCGAGATTTTTTTTTAACGTTGCAAGCTTCTAAGTCAGTGTTCAGATGTCGAGAAATCGATAACTACAGTCAGTTGAAGAAAATCAAATCTTTCCAAGATTCAGGACATGTTAAATGGGCTCACAGTGACATGTTGCCTGCTGAGCTTGTGCTATCCCAGCTGACTTCTCTGTATTTCTCTTTCTGCCAGGTGCTGGCGGCTGGTTTGGCTGGATGATGCCCACTTTGCTGCTGTGGCTGGTGAATGGTGTAATTGTCCTGAGTGTGTGTATAAAGCTCCTTGTGCATGGGGAGCCAGTGACCCGGCTGCACTCCCGCTCGTCTGTAATGTTCTGGCGGCATCGCAAGCAGGCTGACCTGGATTTGGCAAGGGTAAAGCAACCCCGCACTATGCAGAGCAAATCCTGCCCTTCCCCCAGTGAACCCTTTGGCGGTCCCGATGGCTGGCACTTGGGAGAATGCCAGCATTTCTAGGGTTAACCTTCCTGTGCAGTGTGAAGTGGAAAACATGGAGAGAATTGGTGCCAGATAAAGGACACCAGTCTGCACGAGACAAACAAGTAAACATGTACAGCACAGACAGCAGCGCTGTAAGCCTCCCATCTACAGCCCCTGCATCTGTGCCTCACTCCTGCCTTGCAGGGCAGCCTCTGGGGGGAGAGGGGGAGTTCAGTCTTCATTCCCGCTCAGTACTTGGCAGCAACGACATTCCTCAGCCCGGAGAGCTCACAGAGCTGCTCAGGATGCCGCTCCTGGGCTGAGGAGGCTGTGGGAGAACTCGGAGGGAATCACAGAATCATAAGCATGCAGGCAGAGCGGGCTGCTTCCGGAGAGACTGTGCCGAGCAGAGCTGGGGGCTGACATGGGGGAGGGGTGTCCCCCTCCCCCTTCCTCAGGATAGGTCGGTCAGCCTGCTGTCTCCCTGCCCAACACCACTCTCCTGTCCCTCCCACCGCACACATCCGTTGAAAAAGAGGCTGACAATCTACTAGGATCTCCCTGGAATAATGGGATTGAGAAACCTGCATCATGTGACGCTGTATCTGCCCCATGATGCATTGCAAACCCTTCCCAAAGCACCCTGCGGCCAGTTGCACAGTGGGATAGCTACCCATAGTGCACTTCTCTCTGTGACGATGTAAGAGTTGCTAGTGTGGATGCACTCTGCCACCATAGGAGCTAGTGTGGACATGCAACAGCGATTTTAATTAAAGCGGCATAACTTTTGACCACAAAACTTAGTAGTGTAGACAAGTCCCTACACTGGCACTCAGCTGAGAGGTGTCAGATTGCATGGGCCATGGAGACTTAACTCTCCTGGTTCCTGGAGGTGGGGCTCCAGCGCTTGGGAGGGGAAGGGGGTGTAAATGGGTGTGGAGGTGCATGGAAGAAGCTTGCACTGTCTCTGCTCAGACTGTACATGTTCTGGGGGTAAATAGAGCCCTGTGGTCTCAAGGGCTGTCAATGCAGCCCCATTCAGCAGCTTAAATGAACTTTGTTTAACCATTCACCATTGCATTTGCAGGGGGATTTTGCAGCTGCTGCATCAAATCTGCAGATCTGCCTGTCAGTTCTGGGCCGAGCGCTGCCTGCGTCCCGCTTGGACTTGGCCTGCAGCTTGTCCTGGAACGTGATCCGCTACAGTCTGCAAAAGCTGGGGCTGGTTCGCTGGCTACTGAAGAGGACTTCACGGCGACAGCGAGCAAGAGAGGCTGCTGCCGGTTTTGAGGACGAGGCCAAGACCAGTGCTCGGGATGCAGCTCTGGCATATCACAAGCTCCATCAGCTCCACATCACAGGTAAGGGCAGAGGTTGCAACAGAACTGTCTTCCCCTGACAGAATGAGGATGCTCGTAGCTGCCCTTCTCATTGGGTCCTTGGCAGGGCTCCTTGTCCTGCTCTCCCCAAATCTGCTACTAGCTCAAGGGGCAAGTTACACACAGACTGACTTGAAATGTCACAAAGGAACACCACCATTCAGAAGAACATCTCAGTAGGCGTCACCTCTCCAGGGGCAATAGTATCGCCTCTGGGGTGCTGTGATTTGTAAGGCACCTGCAGGGCTTTAGTTGGCATGATTGAACATTGTTATAAGGTCCTGTCCACACCACAAAATGGAAGTGTGTCGAACTGAGTGGGGGGTTAACCATGTAGTAAGCTGATTACCCTACTCAGTTGTAATTGTACTGTGGATGGCCTCCAGAATTCCCCGTGGCACATTTTGCAAGAGTAAGCTATTAGCAGGTGCCCTGGACAAATTCCAGATTGGTTATGCCACCCTAAAATTCATGTGTTTTAAATAAAACCTGGGGTTTCTCTGACTCTCCTCCCCTGAACGGCTGGGTGGCAGTGCTGTATGCTGTTACACAGCTGATGCAGTCCACCTGGCAGGTTTCCGTAGTAAGTGATCCATGTAGGTTTGGCTTGAAAAATCAGCTTGTTCCTGGGGAGCAAGAGGCTTTCCCAGGTGGCTGCCATTAACTGCTCTAGAACCTAAGTTTTCATTGAAATGATAAACATTGTCTCCACAACCGGAAGGGCTAGAAACAATCTTCTAGACCTGAACAGCAGGGACCGATGCTGTGCCGTCTGCAGAAAGACGGCTTGGAGTCTTTGCTGCTGCTCGGAGCTTTCCCATGCAGCAGCAGATTGAGAACGGACCTGAGTCTCGTCAGTGTTCACTGCTGCTAGTGGGGATCCTGAGGGTCAAATTCACTCATGTCACTTAAGCAAGGGAAGTGGAAGCAAGTGCCGAGCTAATCACTGGAAGAAGACCCTAAAATCAGAGGGGGGGGAGGAGTAGATTAGCAGAGACCACTACCAACACACTCAGGCTTGCATCAGCCAGTAGGTGTGGTACACCTCTGAGCTCTGCTTACATGTATGTACACACACACTGACGAGCTTTTGGCAATCGTTACGTGATTAGTGGAGCTTTCACCACTTCCTTTGGTAGAATAATTCACAGTCTAACAAACCTCTGACACATCCTAATGTGTTGCCTAAGCTGCCCTTTGCCAATTTTATCCAATTAATGCTAGTTAGGCCCCATTGGACCACCCTGAGCAATTCTCCACCCTTCTTGATCATGCTGTTCAAATACCTGTACAGTTCTGGGCCCCGAAGGAAGCTGGCTATTCCAGCGATGAGGTGTGCAGCAGCACATGACTCCATGACTCCTTCCATGGCTGTGTGGCTCTTGGAGAGCTGGGGTGGGGAAGCAGGGAAAGTACAGAGCTGTGTCTGCAGCTGTCCAGAATCCAGGAAGAGAAGTTCAGGTGCAGCTGCTCTGTACGCAGAGCACTGGGTCATGATGCCTATGGCACGATAAACTTTTTCTGCCAAGATGGTCCAGACTGTGTAGGGTGCAGGCTGTGAGATGCACAGTAATTGTATTAGTTGCACTAGGATCTGTTTTGCATGGTGACTGTATAGGAGAGGTGAATTCTTCTCCTCTCTCCGTGGCACAGGTAAACTTCCATCCAGCTCAGCCTACTCAGGTTTGCACATGGCCCTGTGCGCTGTGAATCTGGCTGAGTGCGCAGAGGAGAAGATCCCACCCAGCATGATGGCAGAGATCCACCTGACAGCTGCTGTCGGCCTGAAAACCCGCTGCGGAGGCAAGCTGGGCTTCCTGGCGGTGAGTGAGTCCCACTGTTCTCCCCCCAGTGCCTCCCAGCAGAGCTCTGAGCAGGGAAGGCCTGCTTATCTCCAGTCAGTCACTGTTTAGCCAAAGGGCGCATAGTTAGGTCTTCGTGGTTGTGATGCTTTGGGGTTCAACCCAGACCAGTGAGGGGTTGTCACCACCTTCCCTGCGGCTCTGGGTGCCTTCAGTGCTGTGCTGCCATGGCTCACAGCCTGACACAACAGCCAGCCTACAGGCCATGCAGGTCACACACCCTGTCTTCTACCACCTGGTTACTTTTTTCAGAGTGACCCCAACACCCTCCCAGTCCTGAATTTCCCCCAAACCGTCTCCCTGTGACAATCTGCTGGGGTTCCCAGAACTGAGAGTTACTATGTTCCCCCTCTCAGCCTCAGCAAGGGAGAGCTTTGCTACAGCTAAGCTGTGTGACCCCTCCCTGATGCACCAGTTTGTCTGCCTTGCCAGCAAACTCTTTGGGACCCTGCTAGTCCAAACCTTGCCTTGCAGATAACAGTGAACCCCAACTCCTGAGTTCCCCAGAGACGTCTCCCCCTTTACTGAACACCCTCAGAAGCTTCAGTTCGTTGCTCCTTCAGCAAGACAACAGCTCATTAATGCAGCTCATTAATTTAACTGGGGTTTGACACTCTTATTTCAATCAGTGCACTGGAAAGGGTTATAGTAAAAGTAAATAAAAGTTTGTTTACCGAAAGGACACAAGTTTAAGTGTTACCGAGTATACGGCACAAAGAGAGAGGGTTACAAGCAAACAAAAGTAAAAAATACGCTTCTAAGACTAAAACTTAACTTCAGCAAGTTACAATCCTTACCTAAACTCAATTCCCAAAGACTTCAACCCCTTTGCTTGAAGGATCCAATGTTTTGTGTTTTCAAGAGCTCTGACCCCCTCGAAGCCCAAGGGATGGATAACTCAAATGCCTTTTTGCCCCCCATAATGTTCATTGTCTCTGTTATCAAAAGCCGGTAAGGCTTCTTGCTGTTCTTCCCTTTCAGTGCACTTTCCAGCCCCCTGCTGATTTGCATGTCAATGGGGCTTCCATTGTTTTGATTCCACACTGCTTAAATTACACTGGAGACAGGTAGCTGCCTTTCCTCCTGTCTGGGAGAAAACAGGTTTCTCCCTTTTGTTTGGTCACACACAGCATAATATCAGCGAGTATCCATAATTCCTCATAGTGTTAATATACACATTGTGTAATATTAATCACCAGTGTGACCTGCTTTCATAAGATGTTACTCTGTGCTTTTATAGTACAGTAATACTGTATACAATCAGCTGATTCAATTGCTTGTTCGTTAGGGTTTAGACCCCTCTGTTTTCCCCCTGGTATGTCTGGCCCCTGATTCTCACAGTGGTGCCCAACAATTCCACTGAATTGGAATTATCTTATGAGCTGGCCTGTAATGAACCTTGCCCTTGTGCTTGCTGTCACTGAGCCATACGCATGATGTTTGCATGTGTCTCTCCCTCTTCTTGGCACCCTTCTCCTTTCTCCCCAGGGTTATTTCTTAAATAAGGCCCAGAGCCTGTGTAGTGCAGAGCGGAGTGCCATTCCCGACTCCTTGCGCTGGCTGTGTCACCCGCTGGGACAGAGGTTTTTTGTGGAACGGAGCTGGACAGTGAAATCTGCTACAAAGGAGAGTCTGTACTGTGCCCCGAGGAACCCAGGTAAGAGCCACTGTGTGTCTGACACCCTCAAGTGCATGACTGTCCAACATCTTGCACAGGGATTCTTTTCTCGCCTCTAATATCTGGAACAGCTTACAGTACCTGATCCCAGAAGATTTTCCAATTCCTGCACACACCCCCAAGTCAAGATCACTTGACTTCCTCAATTGCTAGCAGCTGAGAGGGCAAGTTTAATCCCTTCATTTCCTATCGTGTGCTGTCAGTATCATGCCTATTCTTTTACATGGGTGAAGTGGCATTTCTGATTGGGATCTGTGGGCTGGCTGTGCAGAGCTAGATCACTAATAATGAACAAACCAACAGAGGTGTGGAGGGTCACTTTGAATAAGTCAAAAGTTTGAATTTTTGGGATCTTTTAGGTCCCTGCACCGGTCCCTCAAGAACATCCCTCTTGCTGGCTCCTAATGTTTCTGTCTTGGAGTCTGCTTCCCTCCTCCAGCTGGTCTTGTTGTGTCTGGAGATGCTTGGGTTTGTGAATAAGAGAAGAGCAAGACTCTTGTTGTCTTTTCCAGCTGATCCCATAGCCCAGGTTCACCAGGCCTTCTGTGAGAATCTGTTGGAGAGAGCTGTGGATTCCCTCGTGAAGCCTCAGGCCAGGAAAGGGGCCACGGGACAGGAGGAGGAGGAGCCCTGGTGAGTTTCAGTGCTTAGGTTATTACTGTCTAGATGAGGGGGACCCAATACTCTGGGGCATCAAGGGCTGCATTCATAATTTACTAGGAGCCCTGAGGACAATAACTAACTTGCATCTTTTCAATCAAACTTACCACCCTAATGTAACTAATAGGGGCCACTGATCAGTAGCGGGGGATTGAACTCAGGACCTGCCAAACCCCCCGCCACTTGAATTTGAAGGAGAAAACTTAGCTGTAACAGTTTTGGGCCCAGACACTTGGCGAGAGACCTGGTGACATACACCAGCTCCAGGCCTAACATCTGTTTGTTGGTATCTTGATAGCTAAATAAAAAATCTTAGGTTGCATTTACCAGCAGTGTAAACCAAACCAAAATATATAGATGTGTGAGTGGCAGAGCAGGTTTTGGCTGCAGTCTTTGTCATTGGTCTCTGTCACCACATCTGAGTGAAATGGAGGGAAAGCAAAGAGTTGCTTTTTATACTCTGAGCTGTCTAGTTTAGGACTGAACTATGGTCATGCCTTTTCCTAGACCAGTCCTAATTGTCTCTCTCAAATCTGTGATGTTCTGTAGTGATCTGCCCCCCCAAAAGAGGGCTTTGGTCCAAGAGGACACCACACTTCTCCCCTCCCCTCCCCACCCCCCGATCAGTTAGGAAAAAGTGTAGTTTTTATTATAGTGCAGGTTTAGTTACATTTTTGTTTGTACATCTAAGTACTGGTATAGTCCCAGTGGGTGACAAACAACTCGATCCAGCTCATTGAAATCGATGTATGACAAGCTATTGCTAATGAAGCGGAAAGGTTGCAAGGTGTTGTACACCGTGCGTGGACTGCTGTGAGAAGGTAGCCCTATGTCTCTAATTGGCAGGGGTCTCTTTTAATACGAATACATTTTCCATGGACAAGATCCCCAAATCCTCTGTGACAGACACAAAGGAACTGGATAAGTACAACATGTGCTGTTGTCTTTGGCCAAGGTTGAGAACATTTGATAGCTTTTGTAACTTGCTGAAATGTAGTTCAGATTGTCTTGGAAGCCACGCATGGAAAGGAGCCTATAAAGGACTCGTAATATTGTCTCACCTAATGGCAGCGGGTGTCATACTGGAGAGAAGGCTGGCAGCTTCCAGACAGCATCTATAAAATTTAAAGTGCTAATTAAAATGTTAGAGCAAATGTTGCCTTTCCCATAAACGTCACTTGTTACACACAGTAATTTTCCAACTAGTCCTTCCCATAATAAATAGCCTTTTTAGGGTTTGTGTTTTCCCACCTATCAACTGACTTACAGAGCAGGTAGAGCATGTTTGTTGTGACCTTGGGGCTAGTACTGAGTGTACTCCTGGCCCTGATTACACTGACAGTGAAGCACTAGCTAACACTGCCCCCTGGAGACTTAGGATCTGCCTACATTGAAGCCGGAAGGAGTAATTCCCAGTTTGAGGAGACCTACCTGAACCGGCTCTGATTGAGCTAGCATGCTAAAAACAGAATGGGAGCTGCAGTGGTGGGAGGGGCTAGCCACCTGGGTCTCAGTCAGGATCGTACTCAGGGTAGGAAACCCCTTGTATGCCATGTGCTTGCTCGATCAGAGCTGGCATGGGTATGTCTCCTCGAGCTGGACATTTAACACCCCGCACCCCCGCCAGCTTGAAGTCCAGACAGACCCTGAGTGCAAACATCTCTGCAATTACACCGGAGGTTAATTCACTGCTCTGGGTGAATCCTAAACCTGGCCTCTCTTCCTCTGCCCAGCACAACCTGGATGGGTCTGTCTACACTGCAGCTGGGAGGGCGCGTCTCAGTGTGGGTAGACAGACACAAGCTAGCTTCATTCGAGCTAGTGCACTAAAAAGAGAAGTGTGGTGGATGCGGCTCCAGTGACCGCTCAGGTTAGCCACCTAAATCCAAGCCTGCCCAAGCCCTGGGTCTGAGCTCAGGTGGCTAGTCTCAGTCTCCGCCGGAGCTGCGATGTCCACACTGCCCGAGCTAGCATGAGTCTGTTTACCTGTGCGGCGAGGCACACGCCCAGCTGCAGTGTAGACATACCCAGCAGGGCTTCGTCTTGACCCAGTCATATTCTTCCAGGCTGGGGGAAGGTTGCTCGTAGTAAAGCAGCACTACTCAGAGCTTGAACTCCTGTACCTGCCCCCTAACTCACTAACCTAGTGGGTCAGTGGAGCTTATGAATGCGACTCATCCAGATTATATTGTTACATGCTGCAAATGTGGCATCTCATGCCTTGCTGCCTAGTGAATGTCGTTGTCTTGCCTGTGCTTGCAGCGAATTCTCCAGTGCTTTGGAGTACCTGAAATTAGTCAACTCCTTTGTGGACTCGATGGGAAGCGGGACTCCACCTTTCAATAGCAGTTCGGTGCTGAAGTCATCCCTGGGTGAGTGTCGTGGTTCAAAGCTGCTCCATCTCTGGGAGTCTTAATGGTAGCCCAGCTTCTGAAGCACCCTTCTTCTTGGGGGTTTACTAACTTCAGGGGAATCAGCCTCTGCTGACGGGCAGCCCCTTCTGGGCTGGGACAGAGCTATCCAGCAGCACACCACCTACAGCAGTTCAGCTCCATGGAATAGAAACTCCACTGGTAACTTCTGGTGGGCGGAGTGGATTGTGGTGGCTGTGTATGTTGCTGCGGCTGTGTATGTTGCTGCAGTGCCCAAAATGTGATAGGCACTTTCCAAACCCTCGGAAGGACCACTCCTGCACTTGAGAGCTTCCAACTGTCAAAGAGCAAAGGGGTGCAACATACACACACAAGTGCAGTGGGCAGGACTCTCTGATCTCACAAGGGGAAGACCTCTTGCCCCTCGGGAATAGGATTGGCTAGTGATAGTCACTGGAGGGATAGCTCAGTGGTTTGAGCATTGACCCGCTAAACCCAGGGTTATGAGTTCAATCCTTGAGGGGGCCATTTAGGGATTTGGAGCAAAAATCTGTCTGGGGCTTGGTCCTGCTTTGAGCAAGGGGTTGGACTAGATGACCTCCTGAGGCCCCTTCCAACCCTGATATTCTATGAAGCTGGAAATAGGTCAGGCTAGTAGAAGCAAACACCCTTACCCTAGCAAGGTTGGGTCTGGTCTGCACTTGGATGGGAGACCTTCAAGGCAAAGTTAGGTGATTCAGTAAACTCCACTCAGTCAGCGGGAACCAATGTGCGAGCATTCTGTGTGCTGCTGGAGTAGCTGCTCTTTGGATGAGAGAGGAAAACTGAGATCTTGACAGCTTGTCATCTGAAGATCCCATGCCCCTCTTCATTAGAGTAAGGGAGAGAGTCTGGCTAGGCTGACTACGTTCTGAAGGCCAAAAATTCCCCTTGCAGTTTTGAGTGAGTACAGTGTTCTTCACTTCCTGTCCTAGCCTGTTATGTAGCATTATTATGTGCTGTCGAGAAGTTACAGCATTTCACCCTAGAGACAGCTGCATTTCAGTGCTGGGTGAAATAACTTCTATCCATACATTCCCTAAAGCTCTTCTGGATTCATCAAGGTGGAAGGCACTAGAAATATCAGGCATTATCCTTCTACTTATCTGATCTCGGCACAGTTTTTTGTGCTTTCCCTGGCTGCAGTGTTGTCTTACTGTTTCCATAGGCCCTGATTTGGTGTGCAGATGGTGGTCAGCGGCAATCGGCATGGCAATCAGTTGGCTCAGAGGGGATGATGCAGGCGTGAGGTCACGTTTCACAGAAGTGGAGCGGATGCCCAAATCCCTGGAGATGTCTGAGTGCGTGGGCCTTTTACCTTGGTCAAACCACCATATCTTTCCAGAAATGACTATATCAATGGCCCAATTGAAAGCAGATGTTCTGTGGGGCAGGCACATGTTGACACTTGTCCTGTTGGCTAACCCTATTAGTGCTGCATCAGAAGGTGGTTGCAGTGTCATGCTGGGAGATTGCTTCAGAGCCTGCTGATGCAATGGCATGATGTGGAAACGTCCAACATGTAGGAGTGTTCATTGTCATGTTGATCAGTGCCTGTGTTGCAGATCTCTGGGCAGTGGGTTGGGGAAAGTCCCGTGGGAATGTAACGCCCCTGTACGGGCTATCTAAACGAAAAATTGTGGGGGAAGGTTATCCTCATCTGGGTCCTTTCTCTCTGAGTTCCCTAGGCTGACGCCCTGTGTGAGGGGAAAGCATGTAAACCTTTCCTAATAACACTGAAAGCAGCAGCAGTGCCCCTCACTGATGAAAGCCCCTTCGTCCAGCTGCATGTGGGCTCCTGTAGACAGAAACTCAGGCTTGGTCTACACTACAAACATATGTTGGTATAACTACGTTGCTCAGGTGTAGACAGTGCTATGGAGAGCTTCTCCTGTCGACATAGCTACCGCGTCTCGGGGAGGTGGATTACCTACGCGGATGGGAGAAGCTATCCTGTCAGTGTAGATAGTGTCTTCGCTAAGTGCCACAGCAGCCCAGCTGCACTGCTGTAAGTGTAGACAAGCCCTCAGTGGTCCTAGAGCTACTAGCACATGTACAGACACAGGCTTTGTGATGGGTGCCCCCCATGCCCTTGGATCTGTCTGTACTGCACATGTGTCTATACCCGTCTGCAGCTTCTCCGGGTTGGCAGTCCTCTTATGCCAGATTATGTGATGTCTTTTGTGATCTGAACTGATTGGGGTGGGGAGAAGGCTGAGACCACTGAACTCATTTCCCTTAGGACTTAAGGTCGGTTCAGTAAAGGTCCTTGGAGGCTAAAGGCTTGTTTGATTAGAACTGGAAGGTGCTTTAGAACAGCTGCTGGAAAGGCCTGGACACAGCACTGTTTGAAAGTGTTGCCCTGTCTCTGTCTTTCAGGAATGCCCTGGTGAAAGCGATCTTCCATGTATGCAAAGCCATGCAGGCCTCCCTGTCGGGGAAGGCAGATGGGCAGCAGAGCTCCTTTGGTCACTGCGAGAGGGCCAGCAGCCACCTGTGGAACAGCCTTAACATGAGCAGTGGTGTCTCTAACACTGGCCTCAACAATGTAAGGGTCCAGGGTGCCCTCTGCCAGCTTGTGCTTCCTTCCTGATTCCTGCAGGGAACTACCATGTAGTTTTCACTAAGGCCGGAACGTTGCTCTGGTCTCCCCTTGTGGAGGAGTTCAAGGCGTGTCACACTTCCCCCCACTTCTGCTCTGCTCCAGGCTGGAGAGGATTTCCCTCCCCCCAGCATCCCATGCTTATGACTGGAGAAGAGGGAGAGATGGGCTCCTCATCCAGCCTTCTCGCCCCTCCTGCTTGGTGTGGAGGTGACTCTCTGTTGCAGTGCCATGCTGGGGGCACATGATCGCAGCTCAGTGCTTGGCTGTGTCATCTTGCCTGTTGCCACCCCTTCTCTTAGTCACCTCCTTATTGATTTATTCCCGTAGCAGCCCCCATCTCTGGTCTGCTCTGAGGCCACTGATAAATCTGTAAAGTAGGGACTGCTTATGTCCACTCTGGTCTGGCTCGGGGCACTTGACATCATTTGAACGGTTAGTTCCCCTCCTCAACAGGAGTAAGACTGTACAAAGCCATTTCTCTGCATCGGTGCATCTCTCGTATCTTTACTTTTCAGAGCACCGCAAAGCGCGGGCTTCCCTGCAGGACATGTGGGATGCTGGGCTCTGGCTCTCTCTCTTATTCCTGGGGGGCAGCTGTAGTGCATTGTAGTTGCATTGCATGTTCTGGCAGTATTTGTGCAATGTTTCTGCAGTGCAGTACAGAGGCACTCTCCATTTCTGCAGCGCAGGTAGACTCTCCGAAGGATGGCTAGGATAACACCCCATCTCCCCTGCCTGGGAGCAGCAATGGGTGGGATTCAGGGAGCTTGGGCGGGGACAAGGCCTCCCTTTTCTGCGTGTGGTAGAGCTCTCTATGGCCTCTAGCCTTCTACCTCTGGTGGGGATCTTGGTCGATCTCAGTAAGCTAGGGCCTGGTCAGTACTTGGATGGGAAGACCGCCAAGGAAGACTGGCGCTGCTGATTCCATTTGGAACAGCCTCTTGGTGTGTAACTAGAGTGTGTGTTTAAGGGTGGTGTCGCCCTGAGGTGGGGCTGGTGGCTCTGCCATAGCCATCTGCAAGCGGGCCGGCCTGTCACTGTGCAGCTGTGGAGGGCACTGATGTGGTTAATGGATCAAGCCAAATGTGATAGTCAGAATTTCCTTTCTGTGGTTCAGTGTAACAATACAGAGCAGGTTGTGGTGTGCTGAAGGAGGGCGCATCAAGTGCTTGCTTACTTTAGGCATGCTGTCCTGCAGCCTCTAGCTTTAAGGGTCTCAGGTTACCGCAGCCTGGCTCGGGGGTAACTAACTCTCTGGGGCAGGATGGCTCCAGGTGACTGGTCAAATGTGGAGCCTTTTGCCTCGGCTGGTGGTTTGAATCCAGCTCAGCTTGGTAGTGACTGAAGGTTGTTTTGGATTTTTGGTGGCTGATCTGCTGAGCCGGCACCACATCGCAGAGCCATAACACCATGTCAGCAGCACTCACCCTCTAGAAATGGTCCTTTCTGTTCTGAAATGAAGGAGAGGACTTTGGTCCCCAGAGCCATTGATTTGGGCACCTCTCGGCAGCACTAAATTCCCCTTCAAAATTACTCGAGGCATTTAGCAAAGTGGTTCTGCTCAGGTGGGCTGGTCACTCTGCCTGTTCGCAGCTAGAGGGCACTGCTGCTCCCAGCCATGGATAATCCTGGCCACTCTGCAGTGGGCAGCTGTTGGGTCACTTACCTTCTCCGTCCTCTCTTGGGGGGCTCCTTGCAGATGATCCAGCTGCTGACCTGTGACTTACTGCTCTCACTCCGCACCACACTGTGGCAGAAGCAGGCGAACTCCAGCCAGGCCCTGGGTGAGACCTACCACGCCTCGGCCTCTGAGCTGACGGGTTTCCAGCGAGACCTCGGCAGCTTGCGCAAACTGGCCCATGGCTTCAGGCCCGCTTATCGCAAGGTAAAGTCCTGCCTCTTTTCTCATTCCCATCTGCCTTCCCCTCAGTCCCACAGAGCAAGCAGTGTTCATTTTCAGCCTGCTCTGCATAGCACCACACTTCCAAATAGTCGCCCCAAAGAAGCTTCGGCACTTGAGTTAGTAAATATGAAATGCAGAAGAGGACAGAATGGCCCAGGGGCTGGAAACGGCGCATGGAGTTCTCACATCTCCAACAGCATTCAGTCTTTCCCCAGGCACTTAGTGAGCGAGAGCCACTCCCCTCCGACAGCTGGGTGGGGAACTGGCAGTATCTGTCCTGTTTCCAATGGGCAGGTGTCTGTATTAGTTAATTGGCCTCCTTTGTGGTATACACTGCTGAGATTGCCATTGAGAGACTACCCCTCCTGTCCCTAGAGGTGACTGCAAGTTAGGATTGAGGCCATTGGCAGAGGGTAGGACAGGGAACCATGCCCTGTCTGTCCATGCTGCTCCTGCTCTGTGGATAAATGGGGGACTTGGGTTCTGTCATTTGGATGCTTTTCACTAATTGGACAAAGCACCAGGGAGCATCCTCTGAACAGAGTCCTGTAGTGTCCTGAGAGGATGTGTGCCCCATGTGGAAGGGATGGAGGTGAAGGCCTGGGGTTTTTCATTTGTAATTCCTGTGATCTCCCTGCTTAGGCTGGGCCACTGGGGAGCCGGATGGGGGAAGAGTCTGTGCAATGTGGGACTCTGTTTACCCATGTGCTAAACAGTGGCTGAGAAGTACGGTGCAAACCCCTCGTGTCTCATCCGGGGTCCTCCCTCTCTTCCCACTCCATGTCCCTAGTCAGTGCAGGGTTACTCCTTATGTTCTAACCTGCAGAGCTTTATCCTGTCTAGTTCTAAATGTGTGTAAACAGCGTTTGTTAAAGAGCTAACCCCACTGTCCCGGTTCTCATGGCCAGCTCTGTTCCCGGGACATCAGACCTGTTCTCTGAGATAAGGAGGCCACACCTCTTCCATTTTCTGCCCTGGTTCCTGTGTTGATCTGCTCCTGCCAGCCTCTTCCACCCAGCCCCTTCCTCGTCCTCTCGTACCCTGGCAATGTAACAGCTTTGCTTCTCACTCCTTTCTTGCCCCCATTTTGGGACCACTCAGTAGGGAGTGCCAGAGGCCTGGCGCGAGGGGAAACCATGTCCCTGCTTGTGAGCTGGGAGCTCTGTCCCACGTGGCGGCAGCATGGGATATGCAGTATGGACGTAGGATCTTCCCAGCGTGAGGCTGCCCACTGTTGCCTTCTGCTCTCTTCCCCCCAGGTGTTCCTGCACGAGGCTACTGTGCGCTTGATGGCAGGCGCCAGCCCCACCCGCACTCACCAGCTGCTGGAGCACAGCTTGAGGCGACGCACCCCCCAGAGCGGCAAACAAGGTCGGTGTGGGAACAAGCTCCCTGTTGGGAGAGGGGTCTGTAGCATTCTTTTGTGCCGTGAGCTATTTGGCAAGCAGGGGGTTATTTGGCAAGGCTTAGTGTCTGGAACTGAGCTGCCCGGCATGATGCGTGTTGGCAGTGACCTTGCCGAACGATGCAGGGGTTGGAGGCAGGCTGCAGGATCTGTTAGGTCTTCCTGAAGTCCGTAGCTGAGCTGCTGGGGTTTGTGGGGCTTTGGTGCTCTGGTTCAGGGAAATAGATCCCAGCAGAGCCTGGGATCCCTACACAGACTCCAGCAGAAGATGGCATCTCACTGGAGACTCCTATATTCTAGCAACGGAAACCAGGCCCCGGGGCTTCAGGTCACAGGGCAAACCTTAAAATGCTTCTTAAAAACCATCATTGAGCTGAATTTAAGGGGAGTGAAGTACCCTAATGAGCTACCCTTAGGAAGCCGGGAATTCACAGATCAGGGTAAAGTTTAAAGTGCTGATCTCCTAAAGAAAAGCCATCAGCTTAAAAAAAAAAAAAAAATCCTCTTAACAAGCAAATGTCTTTGCTCAGGTCACAGTGAGCATCTGAGATTACTAATACTGGCACAAGTTAAATTTGGAACCGAGGGCCTGGCCCCTGGTTATAGATCCAGTCCGTGTTTTCCCTGGGATCTGGGTGTTCAGGCTGCGATCCTGGCCAAACTGCAGCTTGGGCCACCTCACCTTGCTGCCTTAAAATAACTCCCTGAAGGTTTCATCCCATCCTACTCAGGCGTGGTGTATTGACCTCCGCGGCGGTCAGCCAGCCCAGAGAAGGCTGCATTTTATGGTGACCGACAGGATCCCCAGTGCCGGGGTTGGGCTAGAGCTATGCCAGGCTTGGTCGCAGTGGTTTTTCTTCTCCTGCACAGGTGAGCTGGACACTCTGCCAGGACAGAGAGAGCGAGCCACGGCGATTCTCCTGGCCTGCCGCCACCTCCCCCTCTCCTTCCTCTCGTCCCCGGGCCAGCGCGCAGTCCTGCTGGCAGAAGCAGCCCGCACGCTGGAGAAAGTGGGGGACAAGCGCTCCTGCAACGACTGCCAGCAAATGATCGTCAAACTGAGCGGGGGCACCGCTATCGCCGCTTCCTAGCCCAGGGGCCGTGCGGCCAAAGCCAGCCTTGTGAGCCATCAGACTGGACTCTCCCCCATTATAGTCCCTCTTTAGAGCAGACCGTTCTAGATTAGGGCCATGCAAGTGGAATCACTTGGGCCGGGGAGGGCTCTGGACTAGCCCAGGGTTAGCTTTCCTAGTGATTGGCTGCATTCAGGCCCGGTGGCAGGACTGGAATCTGGCTAGTGCTGTTCTAGTCTGTGTAACCAGGCCAGCGGCTGCTAGCAGCTCCCCCACTCCCTTGCCCCTCGCTGGGGTTAGAGGCGATGCCGGCTCAGGAGGAGGGGTCAGCAAGCCCTGAGGACAGAAAAGTGCCATTTCCTGGTGCTGGGTGGGGTCTGTGTTCCGGGGGCTGCTCTCCCCTCCCCTCTCCCAGACCCCTCAGGGGAGCCACCCGGAACCCCCTCCCAGGCAAAACCAGCATCTCGGGCAACTCTCTACCTGCAGGCTGGCTGCCCGCCTGCTCCGGGCTGGCTGGGATGGGGAGGGGAGAGCACTAGCGCGTTCTCCTCAAGGCCGGGCTAACGACACTGTTTTTATGGGAGCCTTTTTCTATAGACTTTGCGTGTGTGGGGAGCTCTGGGGGAGGGGTGTTGCTTGGGGCCAGCCCACCCCACCCAGGAAATCTCCCTGTGGTTTTTATACAGTTTTTTTATAGGGATGTTTGTGTCTTTACAAGATGTCGGGAACAGTTTCAGTAGATTTCTCTTCTCAGCACCCCCTGCCCCATGTGCTTCTCCCCCCTCTGGTCACAGAGCTGCCTCTGTTGGGGCCGGGGGAGGGCAGAGTTCTAGTGTAAATCAGCAGCATCCATAGTGAGGGCACAAGGGTGAGGGACCTAGGATGTGCAGGGACCTGGGCTGAGGCGAAGGGAGAGAACTGTCCCTGCTGGGCCCTCTTCATTGGCACAGGTTAAAACAGGTTTTAAAAAAGAGAAGGTTTGATACTTCATTACTCAAAATCCTAGACCTGGTGGTTCCCCCCGCTCCAGGCCCCTTTGTCTGTCCTCACCTGCACACCCGTCAGTCTGATCTGCATGTCAGGATGTGCCCCCGTGGGAGGGAGCTTACATAAACCTGATGTCTGCCACGGTTTGGAGGATCCTGGAGCTGGCTGGATCCTCTGTGTACTAATGCCAAGTCATGTGATTTTGAAAGAGGGTGGGGTGGGGGAGTGACCCAGTTTTCCTTTTTGCTCCACCGTTCACATTGCCTCTGTCCAAAGACTGTGTGAAATCATTCCTGTTCACACCTGCAATACGGAAGCTAGCGCTTGGCAGGAACGCATTGCTGCTGCTCTCAGTGTGCGTGTGCTGTGTGTATGTGTGTAGCTAGAACTACAGTAGTACTGGGTACAGTCCTATCCCGAGCAGGTGCCTGCAGCCCTTCGTTACCCAGCACGGTGTCTCATTGCAGAAGCCGAACTCAAATTTTTGTTAAACCTTTCTAGATTTATTCGGTTTTCTGCAGCAACCGCCGTTGGAGCTTCAGTTACTGCAAAGAAAAGGCTGTTACAATACACGTGGGACCTTCTGCCTCTGTTTTGCAGCAAGCTCCTGGCGAAAGTTTTTAAAATGCCACAGAACTAAACACCTTGGGAATGTTGTCCACCACAGCTTTACTAAGATGTAAACCTTACTGACGTAATTCCGCCTGCCATCAAACCACATTTTGACAGTGGTTCCATGCTCACCGTTATTGAACTGCAGGGCATTCTGCAGTGAAATGCCTCCCCCCGGCCCCCGCATCTCTCCAACCCCTTTTGGGGGGCATTTAATGGAAGAGTCATAATTGTAATTATTTCCTCAAAAGAAAATGTCCTTTGTGTCTTCCCAGCGTGTGGGTGGATGCATTCAAAGGCTCCACTTAGAACTCCTGCTTCGCATTGGCGTCAGCAGCCCATGATAAGTGGGACACTCAGGAGTGGTTTTCTTGCCTCTGGTTTCTGGCTCCTGATATCTCGGTAGATCAGTGTACATGAGATGTCCTACGTGTTGATCCTGTTGGCTGCTTCTGCGTTAAATCCACATGAGTACAATAACGTGGTGATACGAGTACCTTGGTAGTTTGGCACAAGAACAGATGCTGCTTTTTATGGCTCAGCACCACAGCTTCTTGGCTCGTCAGATGGGACAGAGATACAACTTGTTTGTGGAGAGGCTAATGCCCACCCACCCTACAAGGCAGGATGAAACTAAGAACCTGGTTTCCAAACAAACTACTCCCATAAAGGCTTCTTGCTCTAAAGCCCTAGACTTTTTAATCTGTTCAGGAATGTATCTGCCCGTGGCATCCTCCATGTCATTTCAAACCTCCACTGGTCGGTCTGCCACGGCAACAGTAGTGTACTAGGGAGGGGAGGAGTTCCGCACCCATCCCTGTTTGTCCGGGCACTCATGGGAAGTGGTGAACCATCTCCTCCCCTGGTCACTTCATTTAAAGGTGAACAGAACACTGTACTGGAGTGTTAGTGGAGGGAGGTGGGATGGACACCTAGAAGATGTTGAGGGCAGTACTGATAGCTTAAGGACAGTGCAGGCTGCCCTTGTGCAAATGGTCCATGCATGATGTTTGTTCTTTACACCTGTGGCACTTCTTCAGGTGTGAGGTTCCTCTCTGTGCCTGTTTGTGTGCTGTTATTTATGGACCCGCTGTCTCCGTCTATCCCCCCATCTTTTTCCATGTATACACTGTAATATTTTGTTTTTTGGGGGGTGGGGGTGCGTGTTTATGGATGATGTGAAAAACTGTCTATTTATCCAACTGATATTAGGAGTAGGGACACTTCACTGTAAAAAAGTTATAGCTGGTGATGGCTCTAAGGAACCATTTCTGCTCTTTGAGAGGTGCCCAGTTATGGACCCTGTCCCAGTGCTAGAGAGCAACTGTTGCCTAATAAAGACCGATGGTACCACCTGGCCCTGTGTATGGTGTATTTATTAGCGCCCCCCCCCCCCATCCATGCTGCCTTTTGGCAGTGGTAAAACTGAATAGCTTTTAAACTCAGCAGTGAAAGGGGCTGGACTAGAAATGGCCAAACTACCAAAGTTCTTAAAGGGGAGTCGCTTCATAGAAGTATCTACAAGCCCCAGTGCTTATCTAGACATCTTGTCTGCTAAATTAGGCTGGAAATCTTGCCTTGAAGGACTTCCTACTGCTCACCACACCAGGAATGTAAGCAAGAGCAGCATTTCTTGGTAGTTTGGGGTTCCTGCTTCTTGTGGAACCTGCCAGTACAGCGCACCAGATTGCACTAGTGGTCCGTCTAGTCCAGGATCCTGTCTCTGCCAGTGGTCATCACCAAATGCTTCAGGGGTAGGTGTAAAACCCTGTAATGGATAATTATGAAATAACATGCTCATAGGGGAAACTTTTGCATAACCCCTGTTATTCCTGCTCTTTATTTGATCCCTTAGTTTCTTTTATAGCCCCTTGTGAAGGGCTTCTGACAAAACCTTTTAAAAATCCAAAGTAGAACAATGCCTTCTCCTTTATCCACTGTTTTGTCCACATGCTTAAAGAATCCTAGTTGACAAGGGCTGTACTTTCCTTTTTGAAAGCCCTGCTGGCTTGTCCCATCACATAAATCTACGTCTTCATTTTACTTGTAATTATAGCTTTCAACCAGTTGTCCTGGTGGTATGAAACTCCTAGGATCACCTCAGTGCTTAAGGTAGGCACAGCATTTGCTATAGTAGCTGATCTTAACAAGTGGATGTTTTTGTTTGCAGATCAGCTACTTCAGTCTTAAATACCTTTAAATACAGTGTGTATCCTCTGGAGCTCATGAATTGGTGGTCTTGAATCTAGCCATTGTTCTGGCTGCTTCTCCTTGGATATCTTGTGCTTCATCTTAGCCACGTGAAGAGCAGTTTTGAGCATTTCCCCCAACCTCCTCTAAGTGATGAGGACTGTTGCAGAGAAATGCTTTACTCTCCATTTCTCCCTTTATGGTTTGGGAATCAAGCAGATTGATCCCCAGGCTTCCTGCTTCAGAGACACACGTCACACACACACTTTTCTCATTTTAATGTCGGTTATTCAAAATTCTCTTGTAACCCACCTGATTTCCATGTTACCTGCCATTGTTTGTTTGGTTATTGGCTTCACTAGGGCTGGATTTCCATTTTCTGAAAGATGCTTGTTTGACTCAAATAACCTCTTGACGCTTACCATTTAGCCATACTGGTTTTATTCTCCTTGCCTTCCTACTTCCTTGTTTGGTTAGGGGTATGCCTAACTTCTGTGACTCTGTTAGAGTTGCTGACCTAGCCTCAATGCAGACCCCAGGTGTCTTAATTTCCTTTTTGTTTGTCTTTGACTAGCTTCCTCATTTAAAAAAAATAATAAAATGAAAAACCTCTAAAGCTGTCTGTGCTATGTCTAATTCTTTCCCTAAGAGTGTTGCACTTAATTAAATAGTCTCAGATTCACATAGGTATTTATTTTCCTAACTTCCAATGAAATCAATGAAAGTTAAGAGCCTAAATGCCTTTGGGGATGTGGGCCTTTGTGATCACTATTCCTTAGTGGGTTTGCTATTGTAAACCAACTCCTGTGTTAGAACCAACTCTAGAGTAACCTCTGCTCTTGGGTGCTTTAGAACTAGCTGTTCCAGAAACTGTTGGGAAATTGCTTCTCTAGCCCTTGTCTGGCTGGGAGATTTAACCAGATATGAGCAGCTGCCTGGAGTTGCCCATTATGTTATATTTGACTTAGTTCCCTTGTCAATCAATCTTAACAGGGTGCATCTGCTATTCCTTTCCTGAGTAGGTAGTGGTATAACCCTCATAGTAAGTTTGTGCTCTTATTGGGGTCTGTACCCATGCAGATACTACAGCATTTCCTTTCCCTCGTGAACCTTATTTCATCAAGTGCTGGGGACTCTTGGGACCTGTGTAAATGGAAAATGAGGTGGCGGGCGGTTGGTGAGCAAGGGCCCTTAGGACAGTAGCTAACTTCCCCTCCTCCCCCCCCCCCCAAACATCAAAGAAGGAGCTAGTCTCAGTTTTGGGTGAAATCTTGGGTTGGATTTTTACCTAGAGTCGTTTGCCAGCTCTGCAGCTTTACAGCCGTTGGCGTCTGATTCTACTTGTACATACTTCAGGTGCAACCTGTCAATGTGCCTCTATCCTTCAGAAACCCGCTGTAGCTCTGACAGCCCTTTACTCCTGGGTGCTGATGTCAGTTGCACTGGTGCTGTGTGGGTGGTGGGAAAAGCTCCACACTAAAGCTGGACAGAGACCTCTGCATTTCTTGCAGGTTTCTGAACTGCAGCCAGACACAGTAACAATTAGCATTTGCTCTCTCTAGGCTCTTCTCTTCCCTGGTGAAATGATCTCCAGCCTAGTCCTTGGTTTGTAACTCAGGACTTCCTCTCTGAAATCTCTCAGCTGCAGGGCAGGACCAGGCCCCAAGACCTGTGCCCCTCTCCTGCAGCTGGGGCCATGAGTCACCCCTGCCTGGAGGAGTCCCAAGCGCCCCCCCTTGGCCAGATCGGAGGAGTACCTGTGCCGCACCTCCCCTCCCCGATCCCAAGCCGCTGCAGGGAAAAGTCTCAGTAGGCTGCCTGTGGGGGCTACACAGCTCCCCCCACCACACCAGCCTGGGACCTTTCCCTCACTGACGGGCTGCTCAGCACCTTCTTCCTCTCTGTCCTTTCTTTCTACCCTCCCTCTTCTACATGCTCCTCAAAGTCACGCCTTCACAAACTCACCCAAGGCCCCTTTGGCTTTCAGAGCGCCTCTTCAGGGCTGCAG